CTCTGCGGAGGTTCCGCTGGGAATCAAGAAAAAACAGCCACGCTAAAACCTTGGGGATCTGACCAACAGCAGGGAGTGCCCAGGGGGAGGTCTGTACTTGGAATTGGCTTAGACGTTCACACGACATTTTTTATTGAAGTAGGTTTATGGGCCCTTGTTAGAGTTGTAGTTTGCCTCTTTATACATAGGAAGATGCAGCCCGACCGGACCATCTACTTAATAAAGCCTGCACACAGCAATTAAATGAGGCATCAGGCATCTTTTTACCTGGCACAAACACCCCACTCTCAGCACAGAGGCATGAGGTCCTGGCCACTGGTCAGCAGAAAGCTAAACTATTTAGACCATCTCTGGACCCAGCCCACGTTTACTTTAGCGCAACGTGTCACCGGTCAGCTACTTGGGAGTCACTGGAAGACCTAGGAGAACACACTTTCCTCCCGTCACTATGTGCAAGGAAGCACTTTTAGCAGGTGGCAGCCACGGGTAATGGCCCCAAGACGGTCAGATTGCCGGCTCTTGGCCTACCTGTGCAAATCGCATCCGATTCCGCTGGTAGGCGGTTTTCTGTGTGCGTGCTGTGTCCACCAGCTGGAAACTGGTTTCATCCTCCTCGTGGAAATAAGCATACTGACTTCCACCACCGAACTGAGAGGAGTACTTATCTGCAGGCAAAGGGGACGACGTGTAACAGATACTACCTACAGACTCTGCACGCCTGCTCTTCTAAAGCCCTGCTAGTTCTTTTAAAACTTTTTTTTTTAAATGTTTTTAGTTATTTTTGAGAGACAGAGCACAACTGGGAAAGGGGCAGAGAGAGAGGGAGACACAGAATCCGAAGCAGGCTCTGAGCTGTCAGCACTGAGCCCGACGTGGGGCTTGAACTCACACACCGTGAGATCATAACCGGAGCTGAAGTCGGATGCTTAACAGACTGGGCCACCCAGGCGCCCCTAAAGCCCTGCTATTTCGAGTGTGCTCTCAGGACCCTTAACGGAAGTGCATGTTGATGGACTCCGCCCAGCCCCACTACGTCAGAATCAATGTTTTCAGAAGGTCCCCAGGTGATTCTTGTGCACATTCCAGTTTGAAAAGCTCTGATCTAAAGAAATTTCTAAGTCACGACAGAGTCTGAATTCTTTAAGATAAGCCCATTTCACACCCTGCCTTAATCTATGAGGACCGGAATTAAGGTTTACTACTCCAGAAAGGGCAAATATGGGGTATGCGTTATGCAAATATGCAACCACTTACATCATCTGGTACCCCAAGCAGACAGGTCTAATGGGTTATGATATACTTTACTGTTGACCCTAGCCTCAGATCATCCTAACTGGGTACTCACTCCAACTAAGCCACTTCCAACAATCTCAACTGGCACAGGAAAAAACGAGACGACAACACCAACACCACCAACCCATCTACTGTATCAAGATCTTAAAATCAGGGCTTGTAGACCTGGAGTCCACCGATTGGCTTCACAGGTTCGGTAAATCCCAGGCACTAGGGTACCAAATGGGAAGGAGTTCAACAGATCTGTGAAAGGGTTTATGCCTCCCTAAAAGCGGAAGGAAAAAAATCCCACTGTAACAGGTTAAACCTCCTTAATGACCAGTCTTTAGTTTTGGGACCGTTTCAAAAAAATGTATGTGGTTATTGTCTACAGTTCAGCTCCTGCCCCTAAAAACTATGTGTTATCGTTAGCAAAACATCCTGGAATGTTTTTGGATGGAGGTCACTGGAAAAAGTAACAATCCTCCCAAGGCCTTGATCTGGGCGGTCAGTTGAACACTTACTCGTGTACCTCTTATCTTGATATGTGGCACCTGTCCAGTCTGCAACCTGTGAGGCAACAAGAGAAGACAGAGCACGCAGGTCAATCAGGCAAGTTTCTGCTGACCCAGAAGCCCCCGTACACGAAGACGCAGTCTGGGAAAGTGTAAGGACTGGCTCACGATGCCTCTGCCAAGTGCCCAGCTCTCCCGTGACTACTGGAAGGACCCAGACATTATAGCTGTTCCCAGCCAGCGTCTCCGTGAGGAGCACAGGAGTTAAATTCTTTTGAGAGAATAAAATCGAAACGATCTAACAGACGACAGCGGTCACGGCTCGAAAGAGTCACTGTCACTGACGGGCCAAGTACCTTTCCTAGTCGATCTCCTTTGCTAAACGGCTGGTAGGGCATATCCCGAAACTGCTCAGGAACCGCACAGGGACCCCAACCCGAGGGGTTGTCCTGGATCACAGGTGTCATGAACTTTGCCATCTTCTAGAATCTTAAAGATACAAACAATGTGAGGAGCTTTGTGAAGAAATGCCTCCAAGCACAAAAAGCCTTCCATTCGAGGTAAGCTAAGACAGAATGATAAAATCAGAAAAGCGACACACAAAATGGAAGTCACAGATAATACTGTGAGTACTTAAAACTCAGAGGACAAATACGAAGACTCATTTACCGTATTGTGCTGCTTGTGACACCCACTTTTTCCACTATAATATCTTTGAAACAAGGCTGCATCTTCCGCTTGATGGACTGTCTCACCTTAATCGGCAGTTTTTCTTAGTCTACATACGACAGTGGTGCTTCTTAAACGCAGCGGGGTCTCAGATTTGATGGAATGTAGTAACCTTTTCTCAAGCGTAATAACCACGATCTAGTTTCCAGAAACACCTTCACCAAGGCAAACAATCCCTAGCATCCCTAAGCCTCAGTCTTTTCATCTGTAAAGTGAGTGAGACCCTTGTCTAATTCATAGCACAAGACCAGGGTCAAAGACTTAATAGTTACGCATATGAAAATGCCTTCGCTGTAAAATGCCACACCATTACTACTTAGACTTGCAAAAATACATTTACACACAGTGCCGGGAAAGAGTCCGTAAGTATATCCCACTATTCAACTTTTCTTTCTCGTTCTCCCAATTTTCTGCCATCAATGCAAACCCTCACGCAGAGCAAGTGGACAGAGCCTGTCAGAAAGCTGACGTTACCATGAACCTTAGGTCGTAGAAGTGGCCAATCATCACATGTTTGTAATATTACGAGTACCAGGTACTGTTCTTAGTGTTTACTCTGCACCAATTCAGTAAATCCTCCCAATGATCCTGGCGTAGCGGCTAGTATCATCCCCACTCTTCAGGTAAGAAAATTGAGGCACAGAGAAGTTAAGAAGTTGTTCAAATTTGCAATGCTAGTTGACGAAAAAATCTGAACCAAAGCAGTATGGCTGGAATTCACATTCTGTGTGAGGCTACAGCTCCTCTCGAGAGAGAAAAAGCCAGGGGCTACAGAGCACATCTCTGCCTGACGGTTTCTATCAAAAACCTCATCATCCATCATGATCCTCAGGTGAGCTCCCAGAGGAAAATTCACTACACGAGTATTTCTGGAGGCAGCCATCAAAGCACACAGGCACAGTGACCTTAGTAAGTTCTCAGTGTCCCATGACAGGGAGAGAGATTCAGGCTTCCTCCAGAAGTGACACCTGGGTGACAGCAACAGGGACCTTCGTCCTTCAACTCTACGCTTAAGCTACACTACAGAAAGGGGACTGAGGGCAGGCGTGGCAGTTTCAAGACAATTCACACTAAAATACGTATTTATGGAGCTCCTACAATGTCAGACACTATGCTAAATTAAAAATTTGCAGCTCAGCTGTCGATCCGTCCATTGTTTCAAAAACAGACTTGATTTCCAGGGTTGTCTGCACCAAGTCCAACATTCTTACCATTACGTTATAGCTGGGCAGCAGGCTGAGAGAACATGGGGTGTTACTTTTTACAATGTTTTATTTTTGAGAGAGACAGAGCATGAGTGGGGCAGGAGCGCAGAGAGAGAGAGAGAGAGAGAGAGAGAGAGAGAGAGAGAGACAGAATCTGAAGCAGGCTCCAGGCTCTGAGCTGTCAGCACAGAGCCCAATGCGGGGCTCGAACTCATGGGGTGTGAGATCATGACCTGAGCGGAAGTTCGATGTTTAACCAACTGAGCCACCCAGACACCCTGAAAAAAATGGGGATTTAGACTATACCTAGTAACCCAGTAATGATGTTTAAAAACGTTTAACAAATCGAGTCCTCTCTCACAGCTCAAGAAGGAAACAGACCCAAGGCTTGGCATACATTTCTCCAGGGGAAGTCCCCTGGCTTCAACCCATTCAAAATAAGAGCGAGCAGAACAGAACCAGAAGCAGAAAGAGCCACTCTGTTATATCGAAGTGACAGCTGTACTGGCTACAAGGACAGGGTGGGGAGGCCACCACAGGGCAGTCAGAAGGGGCCCATGGCTGGCAGGGCACGGTATTGTGCAGATTACCGTGGCCACCACAGATCATATGCCATCAGTCCCTGGGGGGAGAGTTTCAAATCAGAGATCACACCTGCTCCACCACAGCCTTCCATTTCACAGAAAAGGAAAGAAAACCTTCGGACTGCGGACTCCTCAGAGCAGGATCGAACACTGCTCAGCTTGGTACAGTCAGTACCTCCTTCCACGGCAGCTCAGAGAGCCTCTGATCGCTTTGAAAAGACCCTGAGACCCAAAGGGGTTAAGTGGTATTATCAAAGTCGCTCAGCCCGTGGCCGCAAAGCGGAGCCCAAGGTCAGAGAACCTTACCCATAAGGCCGTGCCCCGCATCCCTAAGTGTGTCGGGCCTGGGGTCCCCGAAAGGCGGATTCGTGCCCCGCCCAGCTGAGCAGAAGTGGCCGGAGACGTACGAGAGGCCTCTTCCGGAAGGCCCCCGAAGGCTGCGCCCAGCCCAAACCGGCTCCAGAGATACGGAGAACCTTAAGGGACACTCCACTCACCTGTAAAGGCCTCGGGCGGCCCCGATGGCGAGAGATGGTCCAGGCCGAAGACCACACACCCAGCAGCCCTCGGAGGAACAGAGGGAAAAGGAGAGAAGATGCGCGCGCAGAGGCCGGCGCCGTAAACACAATCGACGCTGTCGTAAACTGCGTTCTTGCTTCCTCCGGACTCAAGGGCGGAACGCACGAGTCGTAAAGCGACGGCAGACCCGGAAGTTCGTCACAACTCTCTGCTAGGTGGCCCGATGGGTCTCTGAGGAGCCGAGACTCCGGAGGTGTGTTTACAATTACGTCACGGGCGCCTCCGGCGAGGCCCCGAGAGGGCGTTCCAAATTATTGAAACGTGGCTGCCCGGCAGTGGAGGTTGGGGGCGGGCAGCGGTGACCGCCCTTCTGTGTCCCCCCCGTGTTTCGCGGACGCTTCGGCCCCTCTGTATCGCACCGTGACCGGGGCTCCGGTCTTCTCTAGCTAGTCGTGTGGCTCGAGTCTCACAGCTGGGGGCAGGTCAAGAGTCAGGGCAGAGGTTAAAGTTACCATCCCCTACCCCCGCCCCCTGTACCACCCCCGCCCCCCGGCTTTTAGTCTCGGTAACATGCCCAGAGGGGAAGGTTATATTGCTAGTGTAGAGGGCGGCCGCCAGGATTCCAGCCACACTCCACGGTTCTCAAATTTTGTAGGGCAAAGATTTCTGGGGCGCCGAAGTGTAGGATGGAGACTGCGAGTCTCACCTCCACGGACGGGTTATTTAACTATGTCTAAGCTGGAGGCCGGGAATCAGCTTAGCGATTGTGATTCTGAAGTGGCGACCGCTTTGCTACGAAGGGCAACCGTGCTGTCCTTTCAATGACTATCGGGTCTCCGGAGTTTGTCCTGAAATCTTATTGGGGGATTTCAAAGCATTGAAAGAGGATCCGAGGACGTTGCTTTTATTCAAACCTCACATCCTTTTCTACCTGGTCTGGGATTCCTCCCAGCGTGTCTCTTCTGTCGGAAAACGTATCTATTGTTAGATCTGGTATCTGCTTGGCTCTGCTACCTGCAAGCTGTGTAGGCTTCTCATCTCTGGGCTCAGTTTCCTCATCTGTAAGTTAGAGGTAATAAAATTATATTGGGTGCAATGAGAGTAAAAATACATTCATATGAGAACAGTAATTCCACTTACGTGAACTTGGGGACAGGCTATTCGATCTCTCTCTGAAGCTCCTTACGCATCTGTGAACTGAAAATACTAACAGCTGTTGGGGCACGTGGGTGGCTCAGTTGGTTAAGCGTCCCACTCTAGTTTTTTTGCTCAGGTCACGATCTCAACGGTTGGTGGGATCGAGCCCCCAGTCGGGCTCCTCGCTGACAGCGGGGAGCCTACTTGTGATTCTTTCCATCTCCGTCTCTGCCCCTTTTCTCTCTCATGTGCACGCATGCTCTCTCTCTCAGAATAGTAAAAAACTATTAATAGCCTTGTTTGTTTCTATAACTTTTCTCCCAATCTGCTCCTGTTCCAGTTTTCCTAATTTTTTTTTTTTAACGTTTATTCATTTTTTTGGGACAGAGAGAGACAGAGCATGAACGGGGGAGGGGCAGAGAGAGAGGGAGACACAAATCGGAAACAGGCTCCAGGCTCTGAGCCATCAGCCCAGAGCCCGACGCGGGGCTCGAACTCCCGGACCGCGAGATCGTGACCTGGCTGAAGTCGGATGCTTAAGCGACTGCGCCACCCAGGCGCCCCAAGTTTTCCTAATTTTTATTGATGGCACCCAGGTAATGGTGTTCAGCCGAAACCTTGTAGTCCTCATTGGTAATTCCTTTTCCGTTTCCCACCACATTCCCACACTTGGTCCTTTACCAAGTCCTCTTGATTCTGTTTTCAAAATCCACCATGAGTGCTATCACTTTGCTCCAATGTATCCAGGCTCATGCTCAGACTCCCAGCGTCCACTTCCTGCTCCTCTGGGCTCCTTTTCCACATGGTGCCCAGAGCAATCTACTGTCTTCTAGCAGCTTCCCATGTTTGTTTGTTTTGTTTTTTTTTTTTAAATTTTAATGTTTATTTATTTTTGAGGGAGAGAGAGAGAGAATGAGCAGGGCAGGGGCAGAGAGAGAGGGAGACACAGAATCTGAAGCAGGCTCCAGGCTCCGAGCTGTCAGCCCAGAGCCCGATGTGGGGCTCAAACCCACGAACTGTGAGATCATGACCTGAACCGAAGTCGGACGCTCAACCAACTGAGCCACCCAGGCACCCCTTCCCATATGTGCTTAGGGTTGAAACATGAATGGCTTCCTGTGGCCTGTCTGGTCCCTGGTTACCTTCCAACTTTACATCCTGTCGTCTATACTGACTCGGCTATGGGTACCATGATCTTTCTGTGCCTTAAGTACATCCACCTCTTATCTATCGCAGCAGGGCCTCTGCATTTTCTGTGCCTTCCGCCTGGAACAGTCTTTCCCAGATTTGCCTGTGGCTGGCTCATCATTCGTGTCTCCGTTCAGACTTCTCTCTTCAAGGAGATCTTCTCTGACCACCATTCCTAAAGAGGCTTCTCCTCCCTCCTCCCTCCTCCCCCTCTTACTCTGCTTCCTTGTAGTTCTTATCATGCTCTGAAGTATTTTTTTGTTTCCTTGTTTGGGTTCTGTCTCTGCCTCTAGTGTATAAGCTCCGTAAGAGTAGAGGTTTTGTCTGTCTTACCTAGAGCAGTGCCAGTAAGACATATTGGTTGAATTGTTGAATGAATGGACAGGGGTTTTATGAGAATTGAATGAAAAAATAAATTCAGTAGATTATCCTGGGCACATAAGTAAGTACTCAGTGTCAGTGTAGGGAAGATCAATATTAATTGTAATATGTTCTAAAACGTAAAGAGTGGGGCACCTGGGTGGCTCAGTTGGTTAAGTGTCCGACTTTGGCTCAGGTCATGATCTCACGGTTTGTGAATTCGAGCCCCGCATGAGGCTCTGTGCTGACAACTCAGAGCCTGGAGCCTGCTTTAGATTCTGTGTCTCCCTCTCTCTCTGCCCCTCCCCTGCTCATTCTCTCTCTCTCTCTCTCTCTCTCTCTCTCTCTCAAAAATAACATGAAAACATTTTTAAATGTAAAGGGAGATGTATTCTTTTAAGTTTATTTATTTAGAGAGGGCACAAGCAAGGGAGGGGCAGAGAGAGAGAGAGAGAGAGAGAGAGAGAGAGAGAGAGAGAGATTGAGGCTCACAAGCAGGCTCCACACTGTCAGTGCAGAGCCTGATGCGGGATTCGAACCTGCAACCCATGAGATCATGACCTGAGCCAAAATCAAGAGTGGGATGCTTAAGTCACTGAGCAATCCAGGCACCCCAAGGAGATGTATTTTTGCTCAATTGCTTCATTTCATGTCTTTTCTTTCTTCCCCTTTCTTTCTTTCACTTGGGTTCACAGGCCACCTACTGCAGTCTCTTCCTTGTGTCAGAGTTTAATCGTCTTTCCCATACTTTGGGCTCAACATGTCCCCAGATGGAGGAGGGTTTGGAGAGTCCTGCCTCATTCTGCACAGTGGGTCTCTGGCCTTGGGTGGCGGATCTTGCCTTCGTTCCTTCTTTCAACGGACACCCTTGCTGCCTCTCTTTCTCTCCACCCCGCTGTCCCCACGCAGCTGGAATGACCCTCCTTTACATGAAGTCGGAGCATGCCTGGCCTCCCCCTCCCCAGCTCTAGCCCGAGGAGAAAATCCCACACTCTGTTCTGTGGGCTGCAAGCTTCTAATGCGTCTTCTCATTGGCAGCATTCTGTTTGTGCGTCATACCCAGGTTCATTGCTGCCTGGAGACCTTTTTACCTGCGGTTCTCTGGGGCTTGGAATGCATCTCCCCTGGATCTTAATGCCCTTGTGTCTTCATCAGACAGACATTTCCTGATCGCCCCTCTGTGTTGCCTCACCCTGTCCTCATTGACTTGCTCGGTGGCCCCGCGCCTGGCACTATTCCAAGTATTTGCATTGACTCACTGAATTCTCACCACAGCCGTGTGAGGTCAAGCCTACTGTCCTTCCTGTTGTAGAAATCAAGATATCGAGGAATGCTCTAGGCTCCACAGTGCGTAGTGAAACTGGGGTTTCGAACTCAGGAGGCCGCCTGGCTCCTGCTTCCTTTGATTCTGCTTTGGTGTTTTGCTGGATGACTAACATTTGCCTCGTTTATCTAGTTGTTTGGGTTTTTGTTGCCGTTTGTTTGCTTACTTACTGTCTCCTTCAGAATGTAAGCCTCATGACAGGTGGGATCTTACACGTCTCGTTCACTGTCGTATCCCAGCACCTCGAATTACCACATAGTTGGTGCTTGGAAAAGGTTGGGGGCACGAAGGACCTCTGCAGACGGGTCCTTCCCCTTACGTGTCTGCAGCACTTGGTGGAACCCTCCGTGGCTGCGCTTACGACATGTCTGGTCTGTTACCAGTGTCCCGCACCTCTGGTACTCCAGACCCCGCGTTCCTCTCACGTGGGGTCGCGTTATTTCTGAGGAGGCCTCATGGCTCAGCGCAGTGCCAGGTACACAGAGTGTGCCCAGGAAATGTTTATTGTATTCACGGCCTCTGGATACTGCTTTTAGAGGCTGTAAAATAAAAACCTTAACATTCTTGCCGGAAAAATGCAGGTTTGGGGGCAGATGCCCACTTCTCAAAAGATTTCACAGCGTCTTCACACTTTGAAGAGAAACAGACACTGTCTTTGGGCAATTGAGTGACTAATTTTTCATTATTACTAACAATGGCTAACATTAGCACCGCAGTTTATAAGTGACAAGGTCCGTAATTTCATTTGAAGATGAAATGTATATTCATGACTCACGACTATGGTCTTTTAACACGAAATTTGCCGTTGGTAGGAATGAAGAAGCTCAGAGAGGTTAAGTCACTAACACAGGTCACACAGCGAGTGGGAGACAAAGCTGGGATTTTATTTACTCATTCAACAGACATCTGTGGAGCACCCTCCACGTGCCTTGTATAGGCCAGGTGTGGAGGATGCGGCAGGGAGCAAAGTGACCGAGGGTGTTGCTTTCAAGGAGGGTACCTTTTAAGCAGGGGAAGGTAGACGCTGGGCAGGTGTACGGAGAAGTGACAAGTAGGTGAAGACGCCGCACCAGGGATCTGTGTTAGAGAATGATCTGGGGTGCAGCACTTACAAGGCGGGAGTTCAGGGAGGCCCCTCTGGGGAGGTGACATTTGAGCAGAGACTGGAGGATGAGAGGGAGCAGGCAGGGGAGAGGCAGGGGAACAGCTTTCTGGAAGAGAGAACAGGCCCTTTCTGTTCCCTTATGTGACCTTCCGAGGAGGAAGGACCCATTCTTGTGTGCTGGGGCGTCAAGGGACCCTCTTAGTCATTCATCTGCTACAGCCTTCACTCCAGACCAGGTGTCTCCTTGTCTGGCTGATTGCCGTTCCCTCTGCTTGGATGTGCCCTGTGACGGGGAGCTCCTTCCTCTGCCGATGCCACTTTACCCTCTATGGACTTCTGTGTGGTAAACATTTTCAGCTCCTTTGTCTATTTCTTGGCGTCACCTCAAGTGCCACTTGGTCCTCGTTTCCCCGTTGTCAGCATTCTAACAAAACGGCCACTTCGGAATCGCTCTTCTCCTCTCCTCCGGGACCTCTCTGATTCCTGCTTGGTTTCCACCCTCCTTTTGGGGATTTCTTAACCTCCTTCTGTTCACACCCGCCCTTCACGTGAACACACTCTCTCTCCTCTAACCTCTCTGGCAGCCCCATCTTCTTGGAGCCAGGACGGATGAGCTACTTCTCAGCTGCTGGCTGGGGCATCTTCTTTGAGTCGACCAGCCCACATTCTTTCCAGGCTCTGGATTCTGGAAATTCTGGATTCTGCCATTCCTTCTTCCTCAGGGCCTCCCCTCAGGGCCTGCTTGGAAGGCATGTATATTCTTTGCTGAGTTTTCAGCTGTGGGTCAAATGTCACTTCTTCGGGGGCATCTTTCTTCCTCTTCCTGCCCTGTGCTTCCCCTTAACACTTGCAGCAATGATAATTAAGTGATTATTGTATGCACCTATTTGATCCACGTGTCTCTTCCATCACACGGAGCACCCCGAGAAGATGGAGAGAGGACTCGTATCCCCAGTTGCTAGAACAGGGCTTGACATGGAGTAGGTGCCCGTAAATATTTGTTGACTAAGTCAGTGGATAAGAGGGTCAAAATTGGTATGAGATCATTCATTCAATGGGTGTCACTGAGAGCCACCCCTTTGCAGCAAGATCCTGTGTATGTAACGATTGGTAGTGAGATTCTTGTCTCCTGGTCTGAGTCAGTGACTGCAAAACAATTTCTCGACTGGACAAAGGGAAAGCTGTAGGTGACTGCCGGACCCTCCATATACCTCCCCCCATGTCATGTCTAGAAGTGAGAGGCGCCCTTGTTACAGTTTTCTGATCAGCCTTTTGTGCTGTCCTGCCCTGTCCCTTCCAGATAAAGCAAAGGCATTTTCTTTCTTTCTTTTTTTTCATTTGAAAGAGGGAAAGAGAGGGAGAGAGGCACAGGGAGAGAGAGAGAGAGAGAGAGAGAGAGAGAGAGAGAGAGAATCTTAAGCAGGCTCCATGCTCAGTGTGGAGACAGACACGGGACTCAATCCCATAATCCTGAGATCATGACCTGAGCTGGAATTGAGTCAGATGCCCAACTGACTGAGCCACCCAGGGGCCCCACAAAGGCATTTTCTAATAGGAACCTCTAATATCTTTTTTTTTTTTTTTTTTTTTTTTGGGACAGAGAGAGAGCATGAACGGGGGAGGGGCAGAGAGAGAGGGAGACACAGAATCGGAAACAGGCTCCAGGCTCTGAGCCATCAGCCCAGAGCCTGACGCGGGGCTCGAACTCACGGACCGCGAGATCGTGACCTGGCTGAAGTCGGACGCTTAACCGACTGCGCCACCCAGGCGCCCCAGGAACCTCTAATATCTTAAAGAGGAAAGTAGTATTTTTGACTGTTGACTGTATATGCCAGGCGCTGTGTTAGTGCTTTACGTAATTAATTAACATGATTGTTTTTTAAGATTAAAAATTTTTTTAATATCCGTTTATTTTTGAGAGGGAGAGAGACAGAGCGCAAGTGGGGGAGGGGCAGAGAGAGAGACACAGAATCCAAAGCAGGCTCCAGGCTCCGAGGCAGCTGTCAGCACAGAGCCCGATGCAGGGCTCGAACCCACGAACTGTGAGATCATGCCCTGAGCCAAAGTCAGACACTGAACCGACTGAGCCACCCAGGCACCCGTAAGTAATTACATAATTAATCATCTCTTTGATTCTTTCTAAAAGTTCAACCCTCCCATCAATGTGGGTGGGGAGAAGCAGGCTCCGCCCAGTTGAATACTTGGTTCGAGGAGTAACAGCCACTGTTTGAGAGCAGTTTTGTGGCTTCAAAAGCTCCCATCCCTGGGGCGCCTGAGTGGCTCAGTCGGTTAAGCCTCCGACTCTTGATTTCAGCTCAGGTCATGATCTCAACAGTTTGCGGGTTCAAACCCCGCATCGGGCTCTGCACTGACAGTGCAGAGCCTGCTGGGGATTCTTTTCCTCCCCTCTGTCTGCCCCCCTCCCACTCACACTGCCTGTGTCTCTCTCGAAAATAAACAAACATTAAAACAACAACCACCACCACCTCCCATCCCTTACAGGGTGGTGGGGAAGACCTTCCCTGAGGTTTGGGAGGTTCTCTTTCTCACTCCCTCCCACCGTCTCTTGCCTCTGCGATCTCTAATTTACTCAGACCGTTCCTATCTTGAAGATCAGTGAGGGCTCCAGAAGTTCCCCACAGGAGGGGCTGCGCAACAGGGATCTGGTCTGGAAGCTGTGTTTGTACCATAGAGGCCATGTATTCACTGAGGCACACTTACTAGGGGAAGGCACTCCGGAGCTTATGAAGGGGCTGCTCCCTAAGACGTCTCTTTGGCAAAACTGATGAGCACCCAGACGGAACGAAACTGGAAGAAGAGGAAGGGACGAGTGAACAACCATTGATTTCTTGAATGCTGCCTCTGTGCGAGCATCTTGTGTGTTTCGATCATTCTAGACTGTGAGGGAAAGAGTTGTCAGGGATCCGTGGTGTGCTCTGGGATCTCAACTAGATGTAGGGTGACCGTATAATTTACCATCCATGTTGGGGCCCTCTGGGGAGACAAAGGGGCCACTATCGAAAATTGCACCAGGGGCGCCTGGGTGGCGCAGTCGGTTAAGCGTCCGACTTCAGCCAGGTCACGATCTCGCGGTCCGTGAGTTCGAGCCCCGCGTCGGGCTCTGGGCTGATGGCTCAGAGCCTGGAGCCTGTTTCCGATTCTGTGTCTCCCTCTCTCTCTGCCCCTCCCCCATTCATGCTCTGTCTCTCTCTGTCCCAAAAATAAATAAACGTTGAAAAAAAAATTAAAAAAAAAAAAATTGCACCAGACCAAAGTATAAATTGGGACTGCCCTGTGCCAGCTGGGAGGTCTGGTCACCCTCGGCAGGAGGGAAATCAGATGCCCTCTGTTCCAGTTATCTATTACTGGGTGACACCTCCCTCCAAAATTTGGCAGCTGAAAGCCACAATAATCCTTTTGTTGTCTCTGTTGGCTTCTGTAGGCCAGGAATTTGGGAAGGGGTTGTCTAGTTCTAGCCTGGGGCCTCCCGGGCCGTATTAGTTAGGTGCAGGTGGAGCTGGAGTAGCTGGAGGCTAGCTAGAACCTTCTCTCTCTCTCTCTGTGTCTCTGTCTCCATTTAGCCTTAGAGCCTCGCTATATGGTGAGTCCACACAGGGAGTCGAGCTTTCTCACAACATGGCGGCCCCGGGGCAGTCAGACGACATACAAGGGGGCCAAAGATGTCCGGAACAGGTATTCTGACTAACAAGCTGGCAGCGGCATGGCCCTCTACAACCCGGTCTCAGAAGTCAGGCGGCCCTTCTGTTGGTTACCAGCGAGTCACAGGCGCAAGGTTCTAGAAGAGCGCGTGGAGTGAGAGACGTTGTCGTGACCGTCTGAGGAGCCTAAAATCTGCTACAGATGCACCTGGCCTTTTCTAAGAGTAACCAGTTGGTTGTCTGCAAAGGTGTGACTGAAGAGTTTAGGACAGAGCAAAAGCCAGAGTTTCGGAGGAAGTCTGGTCGGGAGGAGGCCTGGGCTGTGCTGGTGGTTTATCAAGGGAAATCTGCTCAGGGGAGTGAATGAACTTGTGGGAAGGGGAGAGTCACAGAGCCAGAGGCCTGGCGTTGTCCAGGGCACGGGTTCTTGGCCACACTGGCCTGAGCAGCAGCCACCGCCCCCCGCCATGTCCCTGGGCAAGGCCGTCCCCTCAAGCCGCCTCTGCTGAGAAATGCTTCTTCTGAATAATCCCGTTACTTGTTCCCACTCCCTCCCACCAAGCAGCCCCGCAAGACCGTGAACCCATATGGAGCTTTCGCTGCCGGGAAGCATAGGCTGGTCAGGCTAACATTTCTTGTGCTCTCCGTTAATAGATGGATCGTCTGGTGATGCGTCAGCCTCACAAGATTGGCTAAGGGGAGTCTGGCCCTGCCTGGCGTGCGGGTGTATCCCAGACTGTTCTGACGGATTCACCAAGGTCGGCTGGTGGTGATCTGTCCGTGGGGCCGGCGCTTTTTCCAGCGCGCATCCACCTGCACCTCCTCGTGTGCCTTCTGTGAACCACCACGGGGGTTATCACCCCACTTTCTAGATGAGAAGGCCGAGGTGCAGTGAGGAGGCACGTTTTGCCCGCGGTCAGGCCGCCGGTAAAGGTGCAGTTGGAACAGCGGTCCAGGTGTGCGTGCAAACCGCAAACCTCTTCATGAAGGTCGGGGCACGTACCTGATGGCAAACCCGTCGGACGGGTGTGCTGGGAGGAAGGGAAGCCTTGAGTCACCAGCTCACGCCAGCCTCCTAAGAGCCCTGTGGCTCCAACAAATTCGTAAAAATAGAAAACCTGGAGGGATTAAAGCCCCAAAGGACGCTTCAAGTCCCCCGCGGGAAAGGGAGGCTTGCCGTATGTTCTGATGGTCTGCATTCAAATTTATTTTTTTTTTATCTCAGCTGGATGTACACTCACCCATCACAGGATCAGCTCTCAGAATAGAGAGGTACCTGTTGAATCATCCACCCCACTTCCTGCCTCGTGCGGGCATCTCTCCAAGTGCTGAGCCATCCGCTTCTCTGCTGGGGCCTGAGATATATCAGGATTTGCAGCCCTGGTGACAGGAGACAAAATAGACTCCCATTTCCTTTGGAACCATTTAGCTAGTTGAGCGAGTGCTTGATTGTTTCAATGGGATGAGCAATGAGCAATAATCAGGTCTCTCCCTGGCTGCTTCTCTCTGCCCTGTGCTTGCTCTTCTTCCGGAAGCTGGGAGGTGGTGGGGACAAAGGCACACACTGGTTTTGGCTCAGTCTGGCTCTTGAGCTAATAGGTGCCCCTCCCGGGACCTCAGGCCCACTTTCTGCAACACAGACGTCGTTCTCTTTCCTTCTGCCCGCCTTGGCTCCCGCTGGCCTTAGGACTAGAAACTGTGCCTGGTGGGTGTCTGGAGAGACTTGTTGGGGCTGAGTGACTGCAGGTGATATTTAAGGAGGTCTCATGGGAGATACGGTTTCAAGGCAATGAAAACAGACATCCGTGGGGACAGACTGTCTGAATTTGAATCCAGGTCACCGCTAGCTTCATGGCCTTGGGCAAGTCAGGCAACTGAGTCTCGGCTTCCTTGTCTGTTAAATGGGTGGAATCAGAGGAAGTAGGTAGTGAGAATTAAGTCAGATAATACGTACAGTGCTTGAAAGAGTGCCTTAATCCAGGCCAGCTGAATTAGCATGGTCACCAGAAGCCTGTGGGGCTTTGACTGGAGCGATCGATGGCCACTTGTGGGGACCCGGCCCTGAGTTGGCCACTCAGAGTTCAGAGAGAGAACCAGTCATGAGCTCAAGTAACTCAAAGTCTAGTGGGAAAACAGATGTGGCTGATGCAGGGGTGCAATGCCTATCAAGTGCTTAACGAAATATGTTTTGAGTAGACCTTTAAAAAGCAGATTTCACATGGAAATCCAGATTTGTGGCTTCTCTTATGATCTAGCAACACTGGGTTGGCTTTCCTGCACGGTGATAAGAAGCCGGAGCAGAATAAGTGTTGTAGCCTACGCCAGGTACTTTGCCCCAGTCCCCACTCTTCCCTCCTGCATCCTGTCCGCCCATATTCATGTTCAAGTGTGCTTGCTGCCTGGCCCTTTGGGAGTTTGCAGACAGATTACAATGCAATGCTGTGAATGCACCGGGAGCACGATGAGGGATAATAACTCATCCGTGGGCAGTCGGGAAGAGCTTCCCAAAGGAGCCGAAGTCCCAGTTGCCTCTCTGTAATACCCGCCAATGCTGCAGAACATCCTTGTCTTTATGGCTCAAGGATGTGAATAGAGGACACAAAGTCCTCCGAGCTGGCGGGATCTCTTCCATAAAGCAACCAAGCCTCAGTGGCTTGTGTGGTCATACAGCCAGCTCGTGGCACATCCAGGCTGTCAATTAGAAGCAGCCGTGGGCCTCGGGAGTCTGCAATTTGTACTCTGGAATCTTGATTCCCTCTCTGCCACCCTCCTGCATCGTGGCCATGGGTAGCTCATTTCATCTTCAACCTCGGTTTCTTCATCTGTAGGGTAGGGCTGGGGATTCTGACCTCAAGGGAGTGCTCTGGGGCCAGATAGTGAGAAAATGGGTAGGGGACACTCATAAGCTCCGAAGCGCTCTAGGCCTGTGAGAGGCATCACGATGGTGGAGAAATAGCCACCTTCTTCGAACAGATTTGGCGCATCTTTTTGATGTTACGGGGACCTTGTCCCCCACCTGCTTTTGCCATTCTCTCTCCTTTGCATGTAGGAGTGTGCACAGCCTTCTTCCAGGCGTGGACCCAGAAAGGGAACGTTTTGGGATTCTCTGGCCTTGGCTGTGAACAGGACTCCAGGCACAGAGCCCAAGGGCTCCCCTCTTTCACGAGGCTCCCACATCAAAAGGAGATGCTGAGATAGAGCTGGGAAGGAAGCCGACCTCCCTGGGCAAAAGAGGAGAAATGTCGGTAGTTACTTTGTTTCCTTTAAGACACCTGCCGCTGCGCATCAGGGGCTACGTTCAAATCCCCGTTCAGTGCCTGGAACTATTGAGACAACATGGCATTGTGGTCGACTACTGGATTTGGGAATCCCGCTGTCCTGCGTGCAAATATTGACTCCTCCTTACTAGCTGAGTGTGCCTTTGGACAAAACTTTAAACTTCTCTAAACCTCAATGTCTTCATCTGCAAAATGGGCTTCTTAAAAGTACCTGTTTTTTTTAGAGCTTTGTAGAAGTTAAATGACATTACGTGGTGAAGGGTTTAGCATATAGTGAACAGCTTAATAAATGCCAGATATGCATTGCTGTTATTGCAAATGGTAATAAGAAACGTACATCATGTTTGTACAGCGTTTTACCGTTTAGGAACTGGTCGTGTTCTCCTTAGCCCATTTGACATTCCCAACAACTCTTTGAGGTGGTCAGGGCAGGGATTATGACCTCGTTGCACACGTGAGAAAACCGGAGCCCAGGGAGGGCAGAAGTCTGCTCAAGGTCACACAGCTTGTGAGTGGTAGAGCCAAGCTCAAGTCCCCTTGGATGAAGGATGAGCAGTGTCATTCGCAGGGCCAGGCCAGACCACCTGCACGTGCCGTCGGGCTGCTCCTCGGGCACTCTAGTTCCTCCAAAGACCCGTTTATAGAGAGATAATCCTGTGGGTTTACCTATTTAAACCCTTGTCGTACCTATTTATACGCTGAGCCTATACCAGCTCCGGGGGCGAAGAAACTTGTCCTTGTGCCCTGGTGTCAGACTGACTTTCTTGGCATCTGTCCCCAAAGGACCTCCGCGGGGGTTTCCCGCTGCCCCCTCGCACCCTGATCCGTTTACCAGAATAGCCATGTGTTCTGAGTTCTGGCCGCAGGATGGCGCTGCTCCCCAAGGCATGAAATGTCCAGCCCCTCACCAGGACTGCATTTCCAGGTATGAAACATCTAAACAGCTCCTATGTGCAAGTCACTACGGTTGCTGAGGAGAGGGCTTCGCTTATCCGTTATTGTTATATAAACAACGGCAGCAAAACCAATAACACCCGTACGGGTTGTCACAGTTTCTTGAGCAGTTTACAGAGATCACCCGGTTCCATTTGCTAAATAATCCTGGTACGTGAGATGAGGCGAGTCTTTCCACCCACGTCTGAAGAGGAAATTGAAGCTCAGCGAGGTGACAGGGCTTGTGTAAAGGCCCCGAGCAGAGTGGCCGGTGGCAGATTGAATGGGGGAGACCAGGCGTCTGCCTCCTCCGTGCCCGTACTTGTCGGCGAGGACAGGGGCTATCTTAGTTGCCTTTCTGCCCCCATTCCTTCCTGTCCCTCTCACTGAGGGCTTCAGCTGACGTCTGTGGCGGGCAGGGGAGAGGCAGGCGGGCTCCCTCAGGCCACTCAGCCTCTAGAAGCCGCAGTGCCGAATAGCTCACCAGCGCTCTCCGGACACACTCAGGCTGAGAGGTGCAGCGTCTGGGTTGGAGCCTGTGAAGAGACTTCAAAGAGAGGCCACTGCTTTCAGTCCGAGGCCTGGGCAGGGTGTGACTGACTCACTGTGATTTGGCCCCTGAAGGCTGCCGGGTGACCAAGTGGCCAGGAATGATTCATTCATTTGTTCACTCATGTATTCGTTCAACAAACGCTTCCTACGTGCCCGCCGTGTGCTAAGTACTAGGGACGCAGAGACCAAAAGCACAGCCCGTGTCCTCCTGGGAGGGGAGGAGACAGAGGGCGGGGGAGACAGGGGGCAGAGAGCAAACAATACAGTTTGGCAGGCGTTTCTCGGAGGTCTGTTCTAAGTGTCATGGGGTTGAGTGAGTCTACCAAGGGCAGGGGAGCAGCCACACAGAGGAGGAAGCCTTTGGCGGGATCTTGAAGGATGAGACAAGTTTGCAGATGACCAGGCAAAAGGAGCCTGGAGGTGGGGTGGGGTGGGGCGGGGGCAGGGGGAGAGTCGGGGGCGATGTGCAAGAGCTGTCAAAAGTCATCGGGCACTTGATGGGACAGGGGGGCAGCCGGAAAGATGGGGGGCAGCCAGAGACGGGCCTTGAAAGCCATCGTGGGGACAGTGAATTTGTGTGTCATAGATGGAAGAAAACACATCAAGACTTTGAGTGATCACTCCAGGAGCTGCGCTAGGCTTGAGATCCAGAGTTGAACACTGTGGTTCTTGCCATCAGAGTTCAGAATTTCAAGGAGAGCATGGCCAAAGAGAAGACCCTCAGTCACATTTGTTGAGCGCTGACCCTTTGCCAAGCATCGTGCCAACTGCTTCCTGAGCATTGGCTTGTTGCCTACTTTGCAAGGCAGGTACTATTATCATCCCCACTTTTTAACTGAAAAGCCTGAGACTTGAGGTGCTTAAGTAAGTTGTCCAAGGTCATAGAACTAGTGATAGAGTCAGGACGTGTCTTTTTTTTTGCTTTTTGTTTTGTTTTTTAAAGTTTATTTATGTCGAGGGAGATGGAGGCAGTGCAAGTGGGGAGAAGGGCAGAGAGAGAGGGAGAGAGAGAATTCTAAGCAGGCTCCGTGCTGTCAGTGCAGAACCCGGTGTGGGTCTTGAACCCATGAAACTGTGAGATCACCACCTGAGCCGAAACCAAGAGTCAGACACTTAACCGACTAAGCCACCTAGGCGCCCCGTCTTTTTTACTTTTTAATGCTCACCTTTGCTAAAACTAATTCATTAATTTTATGTAGATTTTTTTATGCATGTGGTACAAAATTCAGAAGGTGCCCAGTGAAGGCGCTTGTGGTCACATCCCTGCTTCCAGCCCTCCCTCCCCGGAAGTGAACACTCTTACTGGTTTCTGGTGTTTTCTTCTAGAGAGGTTCTATCCAGACCCAAGCCTAAAAGGTAAGAAAAGACAAGTGTGTGGCTAATCACAAGCATGGGCTTTGGGAACAGCCTGCAGGGAATTGAGTCCTGACTCTTTTGGGTGATCTTGAAGAGTGTTACCACTAAATTGTGGTTTGAGCAAGGGTCAGGAGGTCTTGGAGGGAGCGGGAGACATGCCAGAGGGCTGGACTTGGTGGGGGAGGACGCGGTGACAGGATGGAGATGAGAGAATGAGGACCAGTGGGGCCTGGAGAGAGACTTGGGTGGGGGCCAGGCTGTGGGGTGGGGGGGCCGCCACGACAGGTAGGTGTTTGGCAGGACTGGAGGTGCGCTGAGAGGGAGACAGGTGGCCCGTGGGTCTGGGACAGTCCCTGTCTGAGGTCTCATGCTGACGCCTGGAGGAGTTCCAGCTCATCTGGTGCACCCCGGAGCTGGGCCTTGGTCCCTGGGCTGACAGCAAGGCCATGGACTCAGGAGTCCGGGAGGTCCGGCCTGAGTGGCCAGCAGAGAATTCTGGGCAAGCCACTTCCCTCCCGAAGCTTCAGTGCCAGTGAGCGCTTCCCAGAGGTTCATCTCCCCGTTGTTCCTCACTGTGGAAGTAAAGGCAGGGTCGGTGGCGGGGGATGTGGGGGGGGGGAGCAGAAGTGCCCTGGCTGGAATGGGCTGGGGGCACAGGATCCTTCTCCAGAGGTTTCCAGGCTGCATCTGAACAAGCATTCACAGTGTGCAGAGTTCTCCCAGGCAGGGTGGGAGCCTATACATAGATATAGTCTTACATGTTCGATCTAATATGTGTATAATGTGTGTAATAACATGTAATACATACATTATTTTGTTTGTCCCCTGCTTCTGTTTTGAAACCAGTTTTCAAAATAACAAGCAGGTTCTCTGGTGTCCTCCCTTTTTCAGTGCTGAGATGGTCTCATCTCTGGCCCTGGGAGCCCCTTCAAGTCGACCACTGGGCCTTGTGACCCAGCCTGAGTAGTCTTTGATAACTTCCTGGCTTTCTGGAAGAACAAATGTTCCAGATTCATCTTGTACTTTCCCTTTCCAAGTCCTGGAATCCGCCATTTCTCCGAGGAGCCCTGGCCCTGGTTCCCTTCCATGAGAAATGCCATTTGGAGGCCCCAGTCTGGGCTGGGGGGATGTGGGAAGCAGCAAGCTCGGGGCCAGGAGCCCACAGTCTGGCAGCTCCCTCCTCCTCCCCTGGGGATGGGGGATTAGAGGTCCGGTTACGTCTTTCCAGACTCATCCGAGGCCAGGCCGAGAACAAGACATGGGAAATATTCGTGCTGGGCACCCCTGGGTTGCGATGGCATGGTGGGAGCCCATGGACCTGGATTCCGCCCCAGCTCAGCTGCTGTGTGTCGGAGTGACTCTGGGCAAGTGACTTAACCTTTCTGAGCTACGGCATCCTCATCTGTCAGATGGGGACAGTAGCACTCACCTCATGTCAGCTTGAGGATGATGTGAGACATCGCATTTAGGTTTCTGACATACGTGGCCTAGAGCAGGTACTCAGTGAATGTGAATTCCCTTCTTATCCCTCCTCGGCCATGTAACTTCAGCATCCCAGGAGGTGAGAACTGGGTTACTGGATGATTTGGGAAAGGGACAAGGGAAGAGGAAGAAATTGGGAAATAGAAGTTTGTGGACAAATAAATGGGAGGGGAAGTTCATTCAAAACAGGGAAGGTGATTTTAGTGGTCAGATCTGTCCAACAAAGGAAGGTTCTGTGTGCTTGGGGAAGGTGGGGAGCCTCCTGTTGCCGGAGGTATACAAGTAGAGGGAGAGGGACCGTTGCCAGAGAAGTGTTCTTTTGAGGACTCCTGCATTGGCCGGGAGGTTGGTCCATTCACTCGGCACACTTTTGGAGTCCTACCGGTCCTTGCCCAGCCCTGTGATGGGACAGGGGATGCCAAGGTGAACGGGATACCATTCCTAGCCCAAGGAACTCCCAGTCCAGGGAATGAACTGATCTCCAAGGTCCCTCCTACTCTGCGGTTCTGGGCTTTAAAGTGTCCAAGCCTTGGAGGGAGTTGGCTGAGGATTTTCAGTGTGCGCCTTTTGGTATTGATCCACTGGAGCCGGAGCTGGCAGGAGAGGACTCCGCAGCGTTATTAGTGCGGAGGACACGCTGTAATCTGTCAGTGTCGCCCTGGTCGCAGCTGGTGGGGGAGCCATCCCGCTGTTAACTCCTCCCTCCCCAGCAGCCACTGAGCGCACAACTTGTAGAGCATCCCCCACCCCCGCCCAGCACCCCCATCTATCCCTTTAGGAGGGAGAATTTCTTTTTCTATTTCTCCTGGTATGAGCCCTCTGCCCCCACCAAGGACATTCCTCTGTACCTTTAGTTACCAGATTTCCCTACCAGGAGCCCGTGGGAAGAGTCCTCCTCTTTCATGGCCAGCTTTGAGTCTTACCTCCGTGAGCCCTTTGCCAGTCTCTCAGGCAGAGCAATAGACTCTAAAGGACTGTCCTTGGGGAAAAAGTTTAGCCTGGTTTTCCAGCTAAGACAAGGAGAGAGACAGAGCATGGGAAGGAGGTGTGAGGTGAGCGAATGGGTCAGGGATTTGGTTCTATGGTAAGTGCTCCTTTTCAGCTCTGAGCACTCTAGCAGACTGAGTGGGTATGTACTGGGGGCTGAAGATGAAGTGAAGGGGGCCAAGAGACCACTGTTAGAGAAGTGGATTAGAATGGGGGTTAGAATCGCGGTGCCAATAGACTGCCCGGCTTACTGTCCCAGCTCCACCATATTCCTGCTGTGTGACTTTGGGCATTGATCTTAATCTCTCTGATCCTCATTTCCTCTTTTGTAAAATGGGGCTAATAAATAGGACTTACCTCACAACGTTGCTGTTAGCATTAGAATGTAAAGTGTCTACATTAATGCCTGGCGCGAAGAGGGGGGCTGGATAGATTTCAGTCGTGATTATTATTACTCTTCATGGAGCACCACCTGCATCCAGGCACGACACTGGGAGCTTTCACGTTCAAGGTCTCCTTGGAGCATTCCAGCTGCTAATCCCGTGTAGGGATTATTAAACCCATTTTGCAGATGAAGAAACGAAGGCTCTGGGAGGCTATCTCTTGCTTGCATCACACAGCTGGTCAAGGGTAGGGCTGGGCTTCAAACACAGGCCTTTCTGACTCTCCTGTCCGTGCTCCCCCACCTGCCCTTTTCTGCTGCCCTCAAGGGACGTCCGCCCTGAGAGGCAAGGATGCTGAGACTTCCATGTCGGCTCTGGCTGGGGTGCTCTTTCGGCTCTCTCTACTTTTATTTTTTTATTTTTTATTTTTTTTAACGTTTATTTTATTTTTGAGAGAGAGAGAGAGAGGGAGAGAGAGAGACAGAGAATGAGAGAATGAGCAGGGGAGGGGCAGAGAGAGAGGGAGACACAGAATCCAAAGCAGGCTCCAGGCTCTGAGCTCTGAGCTGTCAGCACAGAGCCCGATGCGGGGCTTGGACCCACGAGCTGTGAGATCATGACCTGAGCCAAAGTCAGACACTTAACCAATTAAACCACCCGGGCACCCCAACTACTTTTATTTTTTTTTTAATATATATTCTTTTAATTGTAATTTTTTTTTATTTTAGAGGGAAAGAGAGCTCGTGAGCAGGGAGAAGCGCAAGGGTCGGCGGGGGGGGGGAGAGAGAGAGAGAGAGAGAATCTTAAGCAGAATCCACACTCAGCAAGGAGCCTGACATGGGGCTCTATCCCACGACCCTGGGATCATGGCCTGAGCCGAAATCAAGAGTCAACCGACTGAGCCACCCAGGCTCCCCTGGAGTTCTCTACTTGTAGCCTCGAGTTGTTAATTATTATTTCATGCGTGTTTTCTCTCTTCTTCAGAGAGCGTGAGATCGAGAAACATTTTTTCTTCTCTCTAGCAACTGAAATGTTGACTTGGACCATGAAAGCTACAGAATTGACGGTGTTTCCCTTCTTGCCTTGCTTGCCAGGAAGCTTGTACTTTTTGTCATACTGCTTCTTTCTCCCTTCCAGGGTTTTCATTTTCTACCTTTAATATTGTCTTTACTTATGGGTTTTTTTACTAAAAGCTGTTCCGCTCATACAAGGAGCTGTGTAAATAGAGCTTAACTGAATGGAAAAGGGCAGATTGCAAATCCCAAGTACGTAATTCAAGTAAAACTATGAGCTTTAGGAAAGGGACGTACCTTCTTTTTTTTTAAATTTATTTTTCATTAAAAGATGTTTAAAATTCACATCCAAGTTAGTTAGCATATAGTGCAATAATGACTTCAGGAGTGGATTCCGGTGATTCATCCCCTACATATAACACCCAGTGCTCCTCCCAGCAAGTGTCCTCCTTAATGTCCCTTGCCATTTAGCCCATCCTCCCACCCACAACCACTCCAGCAGCCCTCAGTGCATTCTCTATATCTAAGAGTCTCTTTTGTTTTGTCCCTCTCCCTGTTTTTATAGTATTTTTGCTTCCCTTCCCTTATAAACATAAGGGAACATTTGTATCTTAAATTCCACATATAAGCGAAGTCCTATGATATTTGTCTTTCTCTGAGTACCTAATTTTGCTTAGCATAATACCCACTAGTTCTATCCATGTTGTTGTAAATGCAAGATTTCCTTCTTTTTGATTGCCGAGTAATACTCCATTGTATCTATGTACCACATCTTCTTTATCCATTCATCCATCGATGGACATTCGGGCCCTTTCCATACTTGGGCTATTGTTGATAGTGCTGCTATAAACATTGGGGTGCATGTGTCCCTTCAGAACAGCACACCTGTATTCCTTGGATAAATGCCTAGTAGTGCAATTGCTGGGTCACAGGGTAGTTCTCTTTTTAGTGTTTTGAGTCACCTCCATACTGTTTTCCAGAGTGGCTGCACCAGCTTGCATTCCCACCAGCAGTGCAGAACGGTTCCTCTTTCTTCGCATCCTCACCAGCATCTGTCATTGCCTGACCTGTTCATTTTAGCCATTCTGACGGGACATACCTTACTTCTATTCGCCCTGGCTCTGGCATGGTGAATTTTGCACAGAAAGCTCAGTGGTGATTTTCCCTGGCATGTGTGGGTCAGCAGCTCTCCTCGCACTAGAATAAAATCCAAAGTCCTGTCCCCCGGGGACTGACCCCTGCCCACCTCTTCCCACTCATCTCATGTCACTTGTCCCTTGTTTATCAGAGATAACCATCTGGGTCATCTTTTAGGTCTACTCACAGGCCAAATTCTTTTCTGTGAATTTCTGTGAAAGGAGCTTTGCACATTCTGTTCCCTCTGCTTGGGACGTTCCCTCTTCTCCCATCCCCTGTGTTTGCCGGGCTCACCCTCCTTATGCTGCAAATTTCAGCTGAAAGTATCAGTGAGAGGCCTTCACTGACCGCTCTATTTAAAGGGGTTGTGGTTTCTGAAACCACAATTACACTATATGTTAACTAACTTGGATTTAAGTAAAATTTAAAAAAAAATGAAAGCACTGCTTTCAAAATTAAAAAAAAAGGGGGGGGGGAGTGGTTTGCAGTATCTAACCTTCAAAGATGGTGCCTAATGTTTCTTCACCTCTCAGCTGCCTTCTACTAATCCCATCAGGAGGTGGACTCAGTTTCTCCTCCCCCTGGAACTAACCTTGAGGATTTGCTTTTTGTTTTGTTAACATTTTTTTAAACATGTTTATTCATTTTTGAGAGATGGGGAGAGACAGAGCATGAGTGGGGGAGGGGCAGAGAGAGAGGGAGACCCAGAATCCAAAGCAGCTCCAGGCTCTGAGCTGCCAGCATGGAGCCCCACATGGGGCTTGAACTCATGATATGCAGATCATGACCTGAGTTGAAGTCTGACGCCGAATCGACTGAGCCACCCCGGTGGCCCCACTCTGATCACCAGAATATAGCAGAGGGACCTGCTGAGGCTTCTGAGTCTAGGCCCTCAGATGGGGAGCAGCTTCCAGTTTCTGCCACTTGGAATCCAGCTGCCATGCTGGGAGAGGCCCAAGACACCTGGAGGGGCCGCAGGGGGCAGAGATGAGGGGTTCGGGTCGACAGCTTCCCTGAGCTCCGAGCCAACAGTCAGCATCCACAACAGCATTGTGCGTGAGCCCGTTTGTTCATCCCAGCCCAATCAAGCCCTCAGATGATTGCATCCCCAGCCGTCATCCTGTGGAGCAGAACAACCACCCAGCTGAGCCCTCCGAATTTTTTTTTTAAACTTTTTTTTTTTTAAAAAAAATTTTTTTTTCAACGTTTATTTATTTTTGGGACAGAGAGAGACAGAGCATGAACGGGGGAGGGGCAGAGAGAGAGGGAGACACAGAACCGGAAACAGGCTCCAGGCTCTGAGCCGTCAGCCCAGAGCCCGACGCGGGGCTCGAACTCACGGACCGCGAGATCGTGACCTGGCTGAAGTCGGACGCTTAACCGACTGCGCCACCCACGCGCCCCAGAGCCCTCCGAATTTTGAGGGATAATAAAATAGTTATTATTTTAAGCCACTAAGTTTTAGATGACTGAAGGAGAGGTCAACTCCTGTTTTGTTTTGTTTTGTTTTGTTTTTTATATCCTTGCCCCACCTGGGTGGCTCGGTTGGCTGAGCATCTAACACTTGATTTCAGCTCAGGTCATGATCTTAGGGTCATGGGATCGGGCCTCCGTCGGACTCTGCACTGGCAGCACGGAGCCTGCTTGGGATTCTCTCTCTCTTTCTCTCTCTCTCTTCCCCCCTCTCTTTCTCCCCCTCTCTGCTTGTTTCCTGCTCACACATGCACGCGTGCATACACACTCTCTCTAAAAAATAGATAAATAAACTTGGAAAAAAGAAATCATTGCCCCAATGCATTTACTTCATAGCCCTCATGAAAATTTGTGATTATGTAATTATTTGATTCTTAACTTGCTAATTTTCCTGCTTCCCCTCTGGAACAGGAGTTGCAGGAGGTTGGGACCGCATCTCTCTTGATTACCACCATCTCCAGCATCGAGCACAGAACAGCATGTAATGGGAGCTGAATGAATGAATGACTGGAAAGCATCAGGATGGTCCTCTAACGCCTCTGGGAATCAGGCTGGGGCATCACCAGGAAGGAGGTGGGTATGACTCAAGCCTTAGCTCTGGAGGGCTTTCGCAACTCAGAACTGCGAAGCCTTTCCTGACACGACCCTGGCACCCCAGACCCCCTGGTCCCTGCCAGCGAGAACTGCCCCTCCCTCCTCCTTGCTCTTCTGTGCCCTGTGGGGCCGTCCATTAAGGCACCTGCGACTCTGTGTGCTTTTGCGTGTGTAGATGATGCAGACAGGACAGAGTAGTCGGTGTGGTGTAGGACTCTGGACCCAGAGACCCCGATGTTTGACCCTGTGCTCTGTCACACTGTGGTATCTCTTTGTGCCATGGCTACATTTTTTTGAGTGTTCACTTACGTAAGTGTTTATAGGTATCAGGCACTGTTCTAATGCTTTTAATTCATTTATGCCACCTAGCAATCTTATCAGATAGGTGCTGTTATTATTATTTTCCTTTTACAGATGAGGAAACGGACTCATAGGTAATTTGCCCGAGGTTAGGCTGAGAGTAAGTGTCTAGAGCCTGGCAGTGGCTTGAACCTGGCAGTGAGAATCCAGGACCTACCTTCTTAACCCGCATACCTTTCTGCCTCTCTGGGCCTCAGTTTCCATATCTGTAAAGGGGGTAGTAACACCTGCTTCACAGGACTGCGATGATACATGATTTGATAGTGTCAGGCGTATTGTAGGCTCTCTATAAATGCCAGTTTGCTGTGGTAAGACAGATAACTTAGGCTTCCTGCCGGAAAGTACCTGTCCTTGTCTGTACGCTCGGGACCAAGATCAAGGACTGGTAGAGTGGACGTGGTCAATAAACCTGACAGACCGAACGAATATGTTTGTGTGAGTGGTTCTAATTCCAGAAGCGCGTGCCGTGTGTGTGCACACGCCCATAAAAATACGTATGTGGACACACATAGGCTCACGTGCTGTGTGTGTGGGGGGGGTAGGGTTGCGTCTTGAAGGTGTGCATGAGTGAACCTATATGCACACACCATATCTACACATTTGTGGAATGATACGCCGGCAAATGTTTGATAATCAGCTCTTTGTTAAAAAAAAGAAAAAAATCCCTGGGGCGCCCGGGGGGGCTCAGTTGATGAAGCGTCCTGCTGTTGACTTCAGCTTAGGTCATGATCTCACGGTTCGTGGCTTTGAGCCCCGTGCCGGGCTCCATGCTGACAGTGCAGAGCCTGCTTGGGATTCTCTCTCCCTCTTTCTCTGCCCCTTCCCGGCTCATGCTCTCTCTCTCACAATAGATGAACTTAAAAAAAATCCCCCATTTACAGCAGTTGCCCACTCCCTTTTCAAGGTGCCAGGGTGGCCTCCTGGAGAGCTGAGAGGGGCTACGTGTGGCCCACCTGTAGGAGTCAGTCCCAGCACACCACTGGCTGCTGGCTGTCCGTCTGCGACAGCCTGTGGCTGGGAAGGCAGCCGGCAAAGTTCCTCGGGCCTGGGAGAAGTCTCTGCAGGCCCAGAGAGGCCTCTTTCCAGAGCCCGTGCACCAGGGGAGCCAGTGGTCGTTGGCACCCAGCCAGCTCTCTCTGTGATTGGCCTGGAAGCCAGTCCAAACTGACCCTCCTGGTTAGTCAGGTCTCCTGAGACAGCAGCCTTCCCTCCCCTGCCTCCACTGCCCTCAGAGTTCGGTGAGGTCAGCACTCGAAGCCTGGAGCGCGGATGGAGAAGGGAGGAGAAGGAGCCCTTCAAACCTCCGTCAGGAGGGGTGGCCGGGGACTGCGGAGGCCAGGAGACCAGGGCCTGGAGCCTGCGTGAAGCCAGTTCCCTGCACAGGTGTGGACACGTTGCTTGCCCTCTCTGGGCTTCAGCAGTGCCCTTTTGCACGGAAGGATAGGTCTTCTGAGCTCTGTGACCTCTTGACTTGAGGGCTGGACCTGAGGATTTGAAATCTACATTGAAAAGCCAGAGAGAGTGTGTGCTGACCTCAGACTTGGGCAAGAGGGGCCCCTGTTTGGGGCATTGGGCTTTGGGGAAGCTAGCTGTGGCCCTCTAGGCCATGCCCCCCTCCGTAGGGGGAAGAGTCCATAATCCAAGGGCATGTGCTTACCCTGAGCCCACACCCCTCTCTCAGAACTCTCTCTCTGGGGCCTGCTACTCTAGAACTTCTGCCCAAAGGATCCTAAGCCAACCTCCAGGGTTGGCTGCCATCCGTCTTGAGGTTGGGTTGGTGTGAGGGATGGTCAAGGAGTTGTTGTTTGGGTGTCTGTAGCTGGAACTCGGGCATGCAGGCTGGGCTGGACACCCGCTTTGTGCTGAGCAGACCTGGAGGTGGGAAGGGAAGGGGGCCAGGCTGGGGCTAGGAGCCAGGCTGGGTTTGCCCCTTGCCACTTTTGGGTATAGCATCCAGACCAGGCTGAGAATTCCCAATTCCAATCTAGTATTTTAGGTCACCACGAAGAGATGTTTGTCAGGATGGAAGGATGGAACATATTTTAAACTTTGTTTGATCTGTAGCCTTTAAATATTCAAGTTTATGCTTTGGGGGCTCTGTATCTACTCCTACCCTGGGGCTTGCAGATGTTAGGGGTGATCTTGGGGGAAGAGATGTTTGGGGAGGGGGTGGCTCGGTGGCATGGCCTGACGGGACCTGAGCTGAATGGAGCAGGGAGTTCTGAACGTGGGCCAATTCCAGAGTGGAGTTTTCTGGGGCCTCATGGTGTGGGGATGGGCTTCTCTTAGGTCCGGGTCACTTGGGTCTCCTTTGTGTACATCTCCTTTCTCTTGGACCCCAAGGAGACCTGTACAATGACTATGCTTCCTCCCCACGTCTTATGCACTGTCTCCCCTCCCAGGGACCCTGCCTTCCAGAGCTCATGAAGAATCCTTGATCTATGTCAGGACTGGGGTTGTGACACCTGGGACATCGTGACATCTGGTATCCTCCCCAGTTCCCATCCCTGTGTATTATCATGGCTGTGTCGAAGATCACATATAGGTGTCTCTTCTGGCTTTCCAAATGAAAATATTCAAATAACCAGGCCAGTGAATCCCAGCTATTGTAATGAATGAGATTTCTGTGGGGTTTTGTTTGTTTGTTCGTTTTGTTTGTTTTTTGGTCTGCAATGTTGGATATCAGTAGGACAGAATGAAGCTCTTGGCTCTTTTCAGAACAATGTGTTATAATGTTTTCATTTTTTAATTTTTTTTTCCAACGTTTTTATTTATTTTTGGGACAGAGAGAGACAGAGCATGAACGGGGGAGGGGCAGAGAGAGAGAGGGAGACACAGAATCGGAAACAGGCTCCAGGCTCCGAGCCATCAGCCCAGAGCCCGACGCGGGGCTCCAACTCACGGACCGCGAGATCGTGACCTGGCTGAAGTCGGATGCTTAACCGACTGTGCCACCCAGGCGCCCCTATAATGTTTTCATTTTAAACAAGCTTTGGTTAGCTTTCCCTTTTCCTGTTTGTCACACATTTGGTTGTGAGTTTGTACCTGACCTTCCTCGTTAAGGATAATAAATTCAGCAAGGTGGTGATGGGCAAGTGGGCCCAGAGAAGCAATAGAAGGAGGAGGAAGGAAGCGGTTTACAACTTGCCAACGGATGAGTTCCTGTTTGTTTGCTTTTTAAATCTTGATTTGATTTTGGAAGACCTTCTTTCCTCCCCTCCTATTCAGTATGACAGTTTTTCTCAGAGTTAAAAGGAACTAAATGAAATGTGTTTAATGGATTTTAAGAGGTGTTTACAGTGCTCTTTCAAATAGCTGATGTTGGCAGTTTGACCAGACCAGGGCTGGACATCGCCAGGCTGGCTCTTTAGCTGCCTGCAAATGGAGCCTTTCTCCAATGTCAAGGGTCAGATTCTCCTGTTGGCATCTTGTTATGGGCTGAATGTTTGTGGCCTCCTGAAATACATGTATTGAAGCCCTAACCTCCAGTGTGAGGCTATTTGGAGGTGGGGGTCTTTAGGAGATAATGGGTTAGATGAGGTCAGGAGGGCGGGGCTTCCATGATGGGATTAGTGATCTTTAAGAAAAAAATTTTTTTTAACGTTTATTTATTTTTGAGATAGAGAGAGACAGAGCATGAATGCGGGAGGGTCAGAGAGAGAAGGAGACACAGAATCTGAAACAGGCTTCAGGCTCTGAGCTGTCAGCACAGAGCCTGACATGGAGCTCGGGGCTCAAACTCATGGACCGCGAGATCATGACCTGAGCCAAAGTCGGACGCTCAACCGACTGAGCCACCCAGGCGCCCCAATGGGATTGGTGATCTTATAGGAAGAGAAAGAGAGACCAGAGCTTGGTGCCCTGTAAGCACACAGAGAGAAGGTGACCATTTGCAAGCCAGCAAGAGGGTTCTTACTGGGAAGAGAATCTGCCGGCGCCTAGATCTTGGACCTCCCAGCCTCCAGAACCTGGAGAAGTAAATGTCTGTTGTTTAAACTTCCCAGTCTAGGCCTTGTGATAGCAGCCTGAGCAGACTAGGACACTCCCCATTTTGTCTCTCCTGTTAGGAGAGACCCAGGGCTTCCTGCTAGACCCTCCTCATTTGCCTCCCAATCCGTAGTCCCCTCGGAGGAGCAGTTCCATGCAGGGAGCCCTCTGAGTTCACCTGCAGGGTCACGTTCATTCCAGGCTGTACACCTTCATGGGGAAAAATTGAAACCCTGGAGTGTCACTGGGAATGTTGAGTAGGGCTGGTTTGTTCTAAAACAAAGAACTCAAGGACATCATGCTTGCCATCTTCAAATATCCAAAAGGACGATTGTGTTCGAAAGGGAAGGCACTTGTTCATTGTTGCTGGATTCAAAGGAAGAAGTGGATTGAAATTCATCTTGCAGAGGAGATTTTGACCAATGAACGCTGCCCAGCCCAGGCTAGGCTGCCTATGGAGGGGATGAGCTCCCTGTCTCCAGAGGTGTGCAAGTATCCCTAAAGGATACTTACGAGGAGACTCATGACCTGTGGAGTGGGGACATTCTACTGCATGGCTTCTAAGCCTCCCATCCCCCAGCTCTGAGACTGCATAGCTTCAGGATTGTTTAGTTGGGAAAGCAATTAAAGAA